GTTTGACATTAGAGAGATAGTGGAGGATCCAACATTTATTATGGATCTACTCTGCACATTTCGATTAATATTTTGGGTATCAAGCGAGCCAATGCTAAACTCGTACCACATGATCTGAATCACTTTGTAAATCACGTCGAGTAGAGGTCTCAGTATATGATGCTTGATACAATATTTAAGGGTCCTTCATTCATCAAACGCATAATGGGATACAAGACGTGAGCTTATGAACATGGCGTCAGAGCTGCTCAAAAATCTACCTTATGGTGCTAGAAAAAAGAGTCGAAACCATAAAACTAAAATTCATTGAAGACCGTACCAGTTCAGGCTTATGAAAAATTGCTTTTAGCATTGGCAAACTTGCATTGACTCAAATGTTGGCCTTCTTTGTCACTCCTCTTCCAATTTTTATAATTTAGTTTTTCGTTTGTATTATTCTTACAATAATAAAGTGCAGCATTTTCGAGCACAACACAGGCCAAGTAAACGTTTATGCGCTAAAAATTTACCTTGGTTAGSAGATCGCACGTAAACTGTTATTTGTAGTCTTTGAAGTCTTTGTCGTCCTGACCATAGAAAAGAAGAACTGCTGTGTTCGAATTCCCCCACAAGCTGCCCAAAAGCGTAGCTATCGAATAGTAGAACACATGAGGATGCGGGAGCGCCGACCTGCTTTTATACTATTAATAGCAGGTTCTATGGTACGCTGCCTTGCTAGCTCATCAGCTTTACAATTGCCTGCGATTCCGCTGTAGCYTGGTACCCATACYAGTCATATCACGAAGAGACTCGATGCTATTGATAACGAGCTTAGGCACTCCTTGACCAAACCTGTATGCACTGTTATCGAGTTCAATGCTGGTATCGTCGCCCTGCTCTCTCAGTGGCTGGTCACTGCTCTGAATGAGGCTGCGCTGCGGAGCAGTAAATCTAATGCTACCATAATGGCTGCAATCTCGGCTTTGGAAACACTACAATAGTCAGGCAGTAAGAAGCAGGAGTTGATGAAGAGCTCCTGTTATAAAAAGATTTGTTCCTATAGAAGTATATACGTATCTCCATATCTTAGAAATTTTTCAAAATGAAGAACATATTATAAGAAAATAAATTGCTCAAAAAATATTCAAAGTTTTTCTTTTTAAATTCACTTCAATTTTGTACGGATTCAGCTAATCCCTAATATTACACCACAACGTTTGACGTTGGGGGAAACCAACCACAAATATAATCTCAGCTGTAAACAAGRGATAAACAATACACCACCATTGAACTTTGCCCAGACTATTTTTGCTCATCCCACACTTTTGGCTCAAGGGCCTTGGCCTAAGCAGGCCACCAACTGAAATTATTATGCAGGGAGTGCGAAATGCGGTAAGCCAAACAATTGGTGTATTGGAAAAGAGGCAGAAATTGTTTTTGTTTTGCTTGTTGCATTATTATGGCAAGCATGTCAACAGTTACAGTTACTCGCTAGTGACTATTAGCCACACTGCTTGGCAAAGACCTTCACGCACGAATGCTGATATATAAACTTGCCGCAAAAGCCAACCGAGCAAGTGTGGTGGCATGGATTATCGCGACACATAATACAGCAATAACAATAAGGCATTTGTGCATTTGCAGCAAATCTATAAACAGGAAAATATTTCAAAGCTTTGYCAACAAATGTGATACACATCTTAAACAACCGCACTTTCGAGTTGTGAAATCGATGCTGGAAAGGCAACAACAAGAAAATATTGTTGTTGCAATATAGTGGTTGTAACAGCTAAACAGCTAGGCCAGAGTAGCATTTATGACTTTTCGAACCTGAAAGTAATATGCTTGTATCCTTTAAGCTGCACGTGGCGCACTTGCACACACACACACACACATATATGTATATACTCGTACATGCCTGCTTTTGTACCTTTTACCTTGTAAAGTGAAATTCAAAGCGCAAACAAAAACAATGRAAGCTGCAAAATATTTTGAAGCCTACTGTGACACTTTGTAGTTTTACTCCTCATAAGCAAGTTATTGTTTGTTTATAGAAATTTATATGTGCACGTGTGTATATATGTGTAATCGAATATATGTTTCAGTAGCTTAAACACTCAGTTCATGCTACTTGGCAGCCAAATGTGGGGGCAACTAATATTTACTACTGCTTCTGCTTGTTCTGCCCTCTTCTTATACTCTAGACCGTACATCAATTTTACCTCGAAGTTTGCAACACCAGAAGGGGACCTTGTAGGCTGGTTTATATATGAACTAGTCTCTCAATTTTGAGATATCGATTTGAAATTATGTACAGCTACGGTTTTTTCAATAAAGCTGCTCATATGTCGAAATCGTCGATGTCGGACTACTATAGCATATAGCTGTCATATAAACTGAACGATCGKAGTCAAGTAGTTGTATGGAAAACTTTTTTGGTGGAACGAATATCTTCATGAAATTTGGCATATATTGTTGTTCAATATAACGGTACAACCTGGAAAAAAATTGYTYAGATYGGACCACTATAGCATATAGCTGTCATACAATTTGAACGATAGAAATCAAGACTTGTACGATAAACTTTTTTGGTTGAGAGAATATCGTCATGAAATTTGGCGTATAATATTACTCAATATAGTGCTACCATACTGCCAAAAATTGTTCAGATCGGACCACTGTAGCATATAGCTGCCATACACGCTGTTCGATCAAAATCAAGTCCGTTAAGCAAACTTTTTTTATCTGTGCAGAATTTTATAATTTCGGTGCCACCGAATTTAACTTTTTTTTTTTTACCTCACTTTGTTTCGTTTTCGTCTTCCTGCCCTGTCTTCTTCTTCCCACTTATTATTTCTGTTGGTTTTGTTGCCAACGGTGTCTTTATTATATCTCCATTGTCAGCGTGTAGTCTGCAGTTATTTTTAACTTTTTGACATCTTCGCCACTTGCTTTATTCTTATTGTTGTTGTTTTGATATACACACATCCATACATGCAAACAGGTATTTTAGGCCTTGCAGGCAAGTCTAGTAGTTACAGCAAGCATTTGCAAGGATTCTTTAACCCTTAGCACATTTCAAGGTAGATGTTTTGCACCGACTGTGCTTTGCTCCATCACACACCATCTCACACATATATGGGAAAGCGCACCAAATCTGTGTGTGTGTGTGGCCACTTATGGTTCAAAGTGCGCTCCTAATATTTGTTGCGATACAAATACAATGCGAATAATACACAGATAAACGGGTCAAAGGGCATGTGCTGTTTGTTAAGCCTGGTGGGTGTGGCGTGTTGAGGTGAATTAGGGGGGTGTTGAGTGTTTTTGTTACTTAAGCAATATGACATAAGAAAGCAGTTTTAGATTTGTTGCTTTGTTTTTATTGCTACTTTGTTGTTCATGCTGCCATTGTTGGCGTTGTTGTTGCTTCTATGCTTATCTTGACATTGTGCTGCTATGTAAACATTGCATTGAATAATGGCTTTGCATAATGCTTTTGAAATGTTAATTTCTATTTTTACAGATTGTAAGTTCACTTTTGTGAAAGCTTTGATGGTCGAGAATTTTCGGAAATAAATAATGTATAGTATATTTCTGCTTCTTAACTGTACATATGTACATGTGTATGTGCGTATGTACATATATGGTATGTCGGAATGCATTTATGAAATAATTGTAGTTTGAGGATAGTGATTTTGAAGGTTAGCTTTAATATGAACGATATGTATATTTAAGAAAATTTTCGGAGTAATTCCGCAAATTTTAGAGTTATTTGAAAAGTTCGCTTGGCAGAATTTAAGAAATTTCGGAGTAATGCAAAAATATTTATAGGCTTTTCGAAAGCTCGTTTAAAATATTTCAAGAAATTTTCGGAGTATTTCGGAAACTATGAAATTTGTTAAGAAAGCTCACTTTATATTACATTATAGGAACTTATCGGAGTAATTCGCATATATTAAAAGTTCTTTGGAAGAATCATTTCTAATACAAGTATTTTAAGAACTTTTTAGATTAAATAGGAAATACTGAAATATTGGCTTGGAATATTCTAAGAATTTTTCAGAATAATTCCGAAATCCTAAAAGTTTTTTGGATGTATCTCTTGGAGTACTTTAGAAACTTTTCAGAAAAAATTCGGATACATTGATACATTCTTTGGGAACTTTACAAGTAATATTTTAAGAAATTTTCACAGTTATTAAGAAATTGTGAAAGTTCTTTAGAAAGGATTTGGATTAATTTTGGAAATTTTTGGAGTAATTCAGGTACATATATTTAGAGTTCTTTGGAAGTTTCGCTTGGAGTATTTTAGGCACCTTTTGATGAAATTCGGTAAATATTGAAAGTTCTTTGGAATATTTAAGAAAATTTTCGCAAAAATTCGGATACGTAAAATTGTTTTTTGTAAACATTACTTGTAATAATTTACAAACTTTTCAGAGTTGCTAAGAAATATTGAAAAATTTTTATAGAAGTTGGTTTAAAATATTTTAGGTAATACGGAAACTATAAAATTTCTTTTGAAATCATGTTTGAAATATATTAAGAAATTTTCGGAGTAATTCGGAAACCGCAAATTTCTTTAGAAAGTTCGCTTGGCATATTTTAGGAAATTTTTGGAGTAACTCGGAAAACGCAATATTCCTTTGGAAAGTTCGCTTGGAATATTTTAAATGTTTTWATAAGACGTCGTTCAACGGTTCACTGCCCTACCAATGAAAATAACGCAGTAAATAGWGGATAAGGGTGAAAAGCAGTTTTTTAATTCTTAAAAAAGTAAAGGCAAAAGAGARAACATAACCGAAAAGAACTTTTCACGCTTAGCATATGCGACCAAGGACTATGAATTTGTCGGCATTCCTGAAAATTATCATTATCAGCTTTATATTATATTTTATTGTTACAGTTACCGAGGTGTATGTCTTCAACCCAGACCAGACGTACAAAGTCTGCAATAAATTTCAATTTCTCCTTTGACTTTACCAATAGTATTTCGAATTAAAAATTATCTACACACTCACCTCCTTCATCGGTCATGACCAGTATGGTGGTTTCCGGCCCCAAGCCTTCCGGATTGAACACTTGCACGGTGACTTTGTACTGTGTATATGTCTCCAGATTTGTGATTTCATGACTCTGCAATGGAAACAAGATAAATTGCAAGTTGACAAAACTTTAGACAAAAATTACAAAACACATCATTAAAATTATGTGTTACAAAATGTGAGAGATTTTCGAGCAAATTACAACTAATTACTCGCACAACCAACGTTGCAAAGCKTTGGCCGTGATTACGTAAAGCCCATTACAAATTCGGCCAGCCCAAAGAGCAAATGCTGTTGCTTAACTACTTTCATGCTGCTGAATTAAGGATATGCATGTAAGCTTTAATTTTGCTGCCAACGCAACAAGCATTTTCCGTTATGCGCGCACACAACTACACACACACACATACACAAAGTGSTATGTAGTTACAGATGTTAGAAAGGTGCGCCAGCAACTGGTGTAGACTAAATGAGAAAACCCGAATTTTAACTGGCCAACCATAAAGTACGTAAGCTCATTTGGTTAAGCAGCTCATTCAGAGACAAAGTGCGGACTTAAACCTAAAATGCACACACACACAYACACACTAACACACTTACATTGAAACTATATAGAGGTAAACAGTGTGTGGACSCCACCACCGATCTGCATTAACACTGTTGTGCGCCGAAAAATATAAACTAAAATTTCACCCGCTTCGGCTGTGGCTTTTGTGAGTGTGTGTGCTCCGTGTTGTTGTGGGTGTACACACTTACCGACACATACTTAGCAGTTTGTGTAATAGTTAGACGATTGCAATTTACGCGACTGGCTGGTAAATTAAATTCGTTAAAATGTGTCTAAAACGTTGGCCGTAGCCGCTAAAATGCGAGGAAAAATTAGTGTATAAAAAAGGAAACCACAGACACGTCGATTGACATGCTAGTGCTGCGAAGCTAATGTTATATTTTCATAGTTGTATGTGTGTTCGGTTAATACGGCAAACACAACAGCTTAAGTGCTGCTAACACTCTTAAAAATTAAAATTTAATTTGGCTGAAAATTGTGGTGTTGGTGCCCGAAAGTATGGAGGTAATGCTGAAATTGTTTTTAAATTTTTTTTTTTGGAATTTTCGCCTGTGAGAAATTTGAATTTTCATTATAGCATGTATTCAGTATTTGTAATCATTATCATGRTAATTATTGCTAATTAATTAGTAATTATTATTATTTAATTAATTAATTTGAACTAAATATAAAACTGTAATGATTACTAATTGATCAGTATTTGTAATCATTACATAGTAAAATGAAATAATGATTACTTTTTGCCATTACTTTCTTAATTTGAAATAAATATAAGGCAGTAATGATTACTAATTGATCATTATTTGTAATCATTACATAATAAATACTGAATTAAATTTATTGACTACTTATTGTTATTACTAATTTAATTTTAAATAATTATAAGATTATAATGATTATTTATTAACAAGTATTTGTAATCATTATCATAGTAATTATTGCAAATTATTTAATATTTATTATTGTAACTTAATTATTTCTATATATTATTCATTAASCGGTATTGGTAATCATTACATAGTAATATGAAAAATTAATTTTAATGCATTTCCATTATTTAATTAGTCGACATCATACATGAGATTAGAGTGATTACTGATTARTTAGTACTGTAAAGAATACATAGCAATTTTTTAAGGTATTGGAAAGTAAAAATTATCCATTACCTTTGTATATTTAGTTTTTAATAAAAATGTAGTGAAAATGTATTAAGCAGTATTTGCAATAATTATTTCAAAGTAATTATAATTACTAGCATTACTAATTTAACTTAAAATTAATTATTACTTATTTAAATTAATTTAAAATGTTTAATATATTTAACACTAAAGGGATGCTTTAATAATCTATATTTGTAATCATAACATAGCAATTATATCAAATGAATGATTATATAGTACCACTACTTATTCAATTTGAAATAACTTTAACCCTGCTTAATTTTTTTAATCATTAAATAGTAATTATATTTATATTACTTATTACCATTACTTTTTTAGTTTTAAATAATTAGAAGCCTTGAGTGATTATATATTAATTGGTATTGGGAATCATTACATAGTAATTATATCAAATTAATTATTATATATTGCCATTACTTATTTCATTTTAAATAAATCTAACACTATGGTGATTATTTATTCATCAATTTTAGCAATCACTACATAAAAGGTAAATTAAGTAAAATTTTACGCAAATAATCTTAAGTAAGTATAAAAGAGTTGCGCTTGTTCAACTAGCTATAGTAGTTTCCGAGATATGTACAAAAAACTTAGTAGGGGGCGGGGCCACGGCCACTTTTCCAAAAAAATTACGTCCAAATATGCCCCTCCTAATGCGATCATTTATGCAAATTTCACTTTAATATCTTTATTTATGGCTTAGTTATGACACTTTTTAGGTTTTCGGTTTTCGCCATTTTGTGGGCATGGCAGTGGGCCGATTTTGCCCATCTGCGAACTTGTTCTTCTTAGGGAGCCGGGAAATACGTGTACCAAGTTTCATCATGATATCTCAATTTTCACTCAAGTTACAGCTTGCACGGACGGACGGACAGACGGACAACCGGACTTCAACTCTCCCCGTCACCCTGATCCTTTTGGTATATATAACCCTATATCTGACTCTTTTAGTTTTAGGACTTACAAACAACCGTTATGTGAACAAAACTATAATACTCTCCTTAGGAACTTTTTTGCGAGAGTATAATAATTATATATTAATGTTTCTATACCCAATATGGCTTTATAAATATCTTTGCACGTAACTAATCATTGAAATTTGTCAGAGCGCCACACTTTTGGCTAAGTCCTAGTTCTTGCGCGTATTTCACACTCATATCTGCTAGTTTTTGGCGAAATTTTTGCAGGTGCCATAGTATTCCTCCAATCTGAATGCATTTACTATTTATTCGGTAATAAATGTGGCGTTATCTAAATCGTTGCGCTATCTTGCTATATTCGCATATTTTAATTGGAAAATCCTAACGGCTGCGTACACAATATTTTTCTGCGCCAGCATGGGTATAGGTGGACACACAAACAACGCTCATATGGTTTATGGGAAGTGCTATCGCGAAAGGGGCATTGTCTGATTTTTCGCCGAATATTCGTTATTTTTATTTCCGAAAGCTGCACTTCATATTAGAGATTTGCAACTTTTTGATAACTCGTTATTTATTTGGACAAACTAGTGCATATGCGCGTGCCTGTGCGCGAGTGTGTGGTTTTTATGTTGCGCAAAAATATAGAATTTTTCAGAGAACAAAACGCGCCTTCGATGTTAACTATCGTCCATATAGTTGCGACGATATGTGTGTGAGCCGCTACGTTTGCGTATGTGAGGCGCTATGCGTATGTGTGTGTGGCAAAGTCATCGTATGCCGTGCACCAACAAACTCTCGCAGTCTCGCACAGGCGGCAGACATTATTAAAAAACAGTTTCACAGCGGAAAATATGCAATGGAACGTGATAGTAGTTTAGTGCGGCTACCGAATCTTGTAGATACATACATATAATCAAGGTGGCAGTTTTGCGCTTTTGTGCACACAGACACACGAATGTGTGGCACTTTTGCGCTGTGTGCGCGCGCGCTTTTGTCTGCTGCGGAGCGTGAGTCACAAGCCAGCAAAATGTTGCGATAAAAAATTGAAGTTGCACGTTTTCGCCTCGCAGGGTAATATTTCAGCATCAAAGTGTTATGCAAATAAAAGGCGACTAGTTGCAAAAACAAAACGACAAAATGTTGGAAAATAAAATAGGAATGAAAGAAAATAATACAAATTTTGTAGTAAAAATGCGCATAGATGCGCAAGGGTACAAACAATCAAAGTGCATGCGGAAGCGTGTGTAAAAAAGTAGCATTTTATAAAATAAAAGCGGCAGCCGGCAATAAAAGCAKGCAAAGCGCAGCAAATGGCAAAATGAAAAGCGTGCACTAAAGGCGCGATAAGTGTGCGCTTTTACGAAAAATATGCACTTGGGAGCGCTATGTGGCGCTTGCACGCAGACGAAGACGCGCGGTCGGTCAGCGGAGATGTGTATTGGCGTAAAGGCGCCGCGTTGCCCTCTACTGCGCTGCTGACAGTGCATCCTTCTACAGCGTTAGTTGGCGCTTCTTATCCGCAAGCCGTGCGTCGCCGATGTCAGCTGACAAGCCCCCCACGCCGCTTCACGTGTATTGGTACGTGAGTATAATCGCTGATAATTTTCGGGATATATTGCAAGTGCGATAAGTTTACAATTGCGCGGGCTGCAAATAAAGCGCAAAATATATGTAGAGTAAAGTCGCGGAGGCAATAAAGCGTTCGCTTGCTAACAAAGCGCCTAACAGAGCGCACTAGTCTCCATATGAGTGAGTGTGCTGTTGACATGCGAAGAAAAAATGATATAATAGAAACCACTCATATTGAAACGAAATTTGATTATCGGTTATAAAATGGTTCTTTATCCGTTATTTATTGGTAATATTCTGGTTATATCTGAGAGAAAAAGATGGAAATTTTATGCTACATATGCAGTGAATCGTAAACAATAAAAAACAAAATTTGAGTTTTGTTTATAAAATGGTTTTATATTGGTTATATCTAATTGCGAAAGCTGAAAATTTATTGCCACATAGTATGTATATGCAATATGATGTAGTGAATCATAACCAATGACAATCTCAATTTCGATTTTTTTGATGATATGTTCTTTTATATTTTAAGTGACGATATGAGAGTTGCACGATAAAGATAAGTTATACCGAAAAAATATACTTGTAATGAAAAACAGAGACGAAGTGGCAGGTGGGATGCTTTTCTTTAACTACTTATTATGGGCTGCTCTGGAAAAGCCAGAAAATGGCAGAAGCCTACAGTACAAAATATCAATGGAATCTAATGCATTTGTTTAGGACTTTTGGTTCTCCAAGAACACTACAGACTGCAGGAAATGTCTAAATCAAGGCATTTGGGAAACAATGGAATATCTTTTTTTCACTTGTCTCGCATTGAGAAGCATCTGGGGTCCCCTCGGTGATACATTGGAGCAGGTACTGATAGTTCAACTACAGAGTCTGTGGAAATTCGCTTCAAGCGCAGGCATCCTAAATGTTGACTACTCCCCATTGATCTAGTAACTGAACTCCATCTGGTATCGCAAAGGACCAAAACTGGTCTAAGCGTGGCTCACTGGCCTACCAGATTAACCTACCCTAAGCTGTTATCAATTTCAAAAATTTACTAACCAATTTGGCATTCAGGAGATCCTTCGACGAAAAAGACTAAACGATCATTTTATAGTTAAAACAGGTTACCAATCTGAGCCTTATAATTGAAAACTAAACATCGGTTGTTGATTTTTGCAATAGAAACGTTAGTGAAAGTCCGTACAACTTTGAACAAACTGTACTTTTGGAACCCAGAGGAAGTTACGAGGCAAGTTTTATACTCACAACACCATCTGATCAAATTTTACACGGATCGCTGTAACTTCCTGGTGTTAATATTAATGAAGTCTACTTTATCAGAAATGCTAGTATTTCAGTGCCACAAAGCATTTAGTGAAGGTCGTGAAGTCATAGCATACTTGTCTCATGCGAGTCGTCGTCGACGATAACATCGAACGGTTAAAGAAACAGTGCTTGAAAATCATCGTGTTGGCTTTAGAGTGATAGCAGACAGTAACTTATTTTTACTAAGAATGAAGCTTGGGCTTGTAAATACAACGTCGAAAACGATTTGCATTCTAGTATGATTGTGACTGACTTTATGGCCAAAGAGGATACGACGAGAGTCATATTAACCAGATTTGGCTCTCTGTTTCAGTAAATTTGTTATGTGTATATGAACTTAGCAAGTTAATTGAGTCAATTTAGGTGTGTCTTTCGACAGCTTGGGCTTGGTCACTCCTTTTATGACCGCGATTATCGGTAAAGGGCAGAGCTGCAACAAAATCCTCAAGTCAGTAGCCGGTGAAAGGACAAATAAATGTAGTTGGTAACATACAAGACAATCGGCCGGCCGGTCCTTGACTACGCCGCACCCATGTGGTCGGGTGGATGCAGTGAAACGCAGACAAGGACACTGCAATCTGGACTACGACAGGATGGCTCTTGAATTCTCCCATCGAACACCTGCAAAGTCAAGCACGTATGCTCCCAGTTAAGGAGCAAAGTGAACTTTCCTCCAAACAGTTCCTGCTGGGGTGGTTTCGCAGAAATTATCCCTACAGTCATCTACTTGAAGCGGAACCGCCTCCTAGGGGCAACAAGAGGTCATTATTCAACTTAAACAACACGCCGACAAGTCTTCGGACGCAAATAATTTCCGATAAGTACTTAGCGCCATTCACAGTGGAGAAGTTAACATCTTCACCGACTCACTCTAGGTGGATGGCGTACTTGAAGTCAAACCACCACCCATTGCAAACGAAGAGCTCAAGTATACTCATAATTGACTGTCAATGGGATCTTGCATTTTCGAAAGATCTATTCTCAAACCTGCAAGCTCTATTTGGTTTTCGCGAAAAGTTAAAGTCTGACTGTAACTCTTTAAGTTCACTGCTTCTATTTTCGACCCTCTTCCGGTCCCAATATTCATGAAATGTCTTTTCACGTTCTTCGCTGGTTTTGTTGCTGTTGTTTCTTTTATTACGATAGCAATTGGATTTGCACGCGATTTCACGAGATAAACGTAAATTACCTTTTAATATTAGGTACATGAGCCCGTTTAGCCATTTGTAGGCGCTTAGCGCGGCATTTAACTAAGTTGTCGACATAAATGCCAAAAAAGCAAAAACAAAACGAAAAACAAACAACAAACAACAAAAACACCAAAAGCACCAGGCCTTAATGCCGAAACAACAATGGCATAAATCCACAGCGATCCGCGACGGCAAATCCAAACTAAACTACAAAACAATAGCTACAACAATAAAAGCAACAACGCCAGGAGCAAGTGTTGAGAACAATTCAAATTGCCACAACAACACTGCAACAGTCGGAGCAATAAGAGCAAACAGCTTTGTACAGCCCATGAGCTGGCGAATCAACGAACGACACCGGAAATTGTAAGTAAAACTTTTTAGGCTTTGAATTTTAGGGGCCAAATGGCAAAGCGAGGTAACGGCACACATACAAATTTACAAATAGACAGACCGACAGACTCACTCGAGGTGAAAGTACGATGTGGCGCAACTAAATTTTGTGTGAGACAGGTGGTGTGAGTGAGCTGAGAATGTCAGTGACAGTATCGTGTTTGGCTAACTACAGTTTCAGGCCTTCGGTGTTGGCGGTCGGACGGAAGTTGTGGCTGCAACGAGCGTGTCAGCTGTGAATTTCATGTTAGTATGTATACWGATTWMGTATGTGKSTRTGCTGGTGATGGCTTTTGCACCTGGGTTGAGTAACCACATCATCAAATGGTTGTATMACAAMGGTCCGGTAGGGTCTGAGAGYGATGTTGGCTTTCGGAAGCGATGWTTCTTGAAACCTAAATGGTYTCGTAAAAACAWTGTTACYACATGTTCTGCGATAATTCGAGGTATTAGCTTCTTAACTCTTTATTCCTTTTGGGATTTCGAAGTCGCTTATATTTTGTAATGCTAATCGAAGCCGAACATTGGTTTGTTGACTATCAAGCAGTAAAAACAGCTAGGACAGTAGCTTTTGTGAATCAGAAAAGTTCCATAGCCATTCGGTGGCAAATTACAACTGAAGAATATGGTGGATAAGTCTATGAAGGAATCTTCCGTATGAATACTTGTGYAGATAAGGTAATAAATATATAATTTTTTATATTTTCTGAACTGCTGGGTAAGGAATCCCTTGTAGACTGCACAGAAGTCGAGTTTTGGAAATATATTTCCGAGATTTTTAGAAGTTTCCTTTACTTAGACAAGCCATTTTCTTAGAAGTTTGCGTCGAAACCTGGTTTTCCAAAAATAAGTAATCAAAAGTAAGTATAGGGATATTTGTACACTAAGATGTGTATTTAGATATTCTCTAGGTCTTTATCCTGACTTTTTTTTAATGAAAATGGAAGGACGCACAGAAAACATACGAGATTTTGCAAGTTACGCCGTAATGCTATAGAGTTACCTTCCACTTTGGTAAGTTTTGTAAGTGACATAGTATCCTAAGATCATTCGGAAGTGCCTTGGAACACAATTTTACAGCTGCTTAGATTTAGACTTTGAAATATTTGGCGCGGAAACACACCCGAATGGACTAGTGAGCTTGCTGGGTATACGACACCGAGGCAAAGTCTTGCTGGTCGATTGCCACCGGTTAGGCCGAAAAAGTTTTGTGTGGATGCACCGGTGGCGGCACAGCCTTGYTCACGCTTTTGGCCAAGCTGTCAGATATTTACACGGCGACGGCTACAACGCCTGCGGTGACACCGACAATGACAATCAAATGAAAATAAATGACATTCACGGCTGACAACACGGCCTGCCCACGAGCACCTCATCGTCTGTCGGACGGTAAATGCCGGCGGCGCAGCTGATAAACAAGAAAATGCGACGAGATGTGAGCGGTGCTACATGCGCGCATTTGCGTTGCCGCCAATTGTGCAGCCACAACGAAGTGCAACGCCTCCAAATATAAGCATTTTCTCGGTCGTCGGTCGTTGGTTGTGTGCTTTATGTGAATAGTAACAACCTAAGGTTGACATTTAGCGGCTGAATGATAGGCCTCTTTAGCGCGTTGAGCTCAGCKTTGCATAGCCGACACCATTTGGTTACGTCAAATAAATTTTGCGGAGCCCTTTTTGGTTTATTCCAATTTTGTTCTATTTGTCAATATACGATGCGTTTTCATGGTAAATTTTGGAAATTGCACTTACCTCGACGGTGCTGTCGCGTATGTAAATCTCCTTGGTGTCGTTACGATCGCGTGGTCGATATGTTATGCGATAACCGAGAAATTCGCCGAGTATAGTGTCGGCTGGCGGTGGCTTCCACGATATRTACACCGATGTGGACGAGGTATTGTGGGCGGTCGTTGGTATTGGTTTGCCAGTTGGAGCTGAAATTAGAAAAATTAAGTGTGTTCAGCCTTTAATGAAGTGTAAATAGAAACAAACTGCGCATAATAGTCTCCCTGCATAGGGTTACCACATATTACTTACAATATTAGTATAATAAGAAATTTCAGTGCMWRTTCCAAARTACCACCMGTTCTTAGCTTMATATTTAAAGTTCCTATTAAAGGTTGCTTCTAGACAGTGRAAAACACTTAAATATTAATCTTTAGTTCTTTAAGTTTTCTTTGGGCTGGTTTACATCGATAAGTATATTTTAATTTATTTCATAAATCAAAGACGGCAGACAACATGGTGGCCTACTCCGGGGAGCAAGGAGAACRTTTTCACCAAGATGTGATGTACTTTGAACGTCACTATCAAGGGAAGTACAACGGAGAATATGATGGGAGATTATATTTGGGGTTTAATACGAGAGAGCTCAAATGAGCATAAAAGAAATACAAAAAATATTGTTTATCACACTKAAAATTGAATTGAAATTGTTTATCACACATCTTGAATAAAAACGACTCTTGTATCTMAAAAAAGTTTTCTAATTATAATCTATAGTGAAATTGTAGAAAAAAAGTCAGTAATTTCTGCTTAAAAGTCGAAAATTGCTCTAATTTTTACGATAGCAAACTTTAAACGGAAAAAACAATTTTTTCCTTATTTTTGCCATAGGAGAAACTAAAATTTAACATGACATCTGTCAGACCCAAAAATCGTGTTGACCGGTGTAATCGAAAATCAAAATCAAATCTCGGCTGTGGTAGCCTCTGGCTATTGCATTTGGCTCGTGAGTCAATCTTTATCAAAAATAGTTCAAATTCTTGCAATTCTTCGGACTCGAAATGCCAGATACATTGTTTCTTTACGTTTTTCTGGAAATTATTATTTTAATCGAGCTATCGAAATTCTAYAGCTCAAAGCTGGAAGCCTGATGGAATGCATCAATGGGAATCCGGCAATTAAGATAAKAGTCGAACTTTTGGGTAAGAGTCCAGAACTTCTCGGGTAATCAGTTTCGGTATCTTCTCGTTTCATTGTTGCGTTCAAAACATTTGGTGACCCCACGAAACTAAATACGTATTCWCCTTTATTTTTATTGCAGCTAATCAATGTGCCTGTGACAATTACAGACAAGTAGAAGTTGGCCTGCCAGTATGCTTAGGGCAAATACTATATATGTTGAGTATGCTGATTGTAAYCTTTGGTGATTAGGGGCTAGAAATGCCACTTGACTATCTGTGTACATATATTTAGCTCTGAATCCTGCCGCTGTTATTCAATAGGGCTTCACAGACTCTCTCTGTGTCTATTATTTCTGCTTGAATGATATCAGCTGAATTTGATAAACGGATAGAGAGAGATACATATATAAAGATCCTCAGAGTATACACCTCACATTACTCCGCAGTCCACATTGTACCCGTCAGCATGGATTGAGACAGTATTATCCTCCCCTACTAAACTTCTTCTCTTTTCAAGTCTAGAAGCTGTTCTCAAATGGAAGTAGTAATTGAAATCTAACGTTGAAAGGATATGGTCTGATTTATTTAGGTTTAGAATATAGTTCGTTTGCTAAATCGACGGATTGATGATATGGTTAATAAATTCTACTTTAATATCAATGAACGCGCTTTGTGTTATCTTTACAGAAACAACAAAATAATAGATATTAACTTCTTAATCAAACCCAATACAAGTGAAATACTAGCCCCCGATTACCACTTTCTCCTTCTCAGCTCAGTTTCGTCTCAATTTTTGTCTTTTTCTCACCTTCCCTAAAATAATTTTGTATTGTGCGCGGCGTCGTTGTAGTTTTGCGTATCGCACTGTCAAATTGTTACGCATCAGCAGAAGTTACCTGCGAGTGACACGCTTCCTGCTGCCGGCAAAGTGTTTTATTTCGCAATTTTTATACATTGCCCTGTCCCACTTTCCCTTACACGTTCATTACTTTGGGAATTTGTTGCGACGTTGAATGCTCCATTTGATTACCACGAGCTTTTACTCTTCTTTTAGTGTGGGCGTGGTTGTTCGAATTGCTTCAAAATTGGTGCGCATTTTATGGCGCCACTCTCCCTACCCTTGCCGTATCAATTCATTTATGCTTTCAACTTCCATTGCGTTGTCATGTGCCCGAAGTTATTCCAAGCTCAAGATGCTTGATAGTTATTTTATTAGATAATTTTCATTTGGACTTGTGCTGGCTGTAATGCTGCGCACGCTTTGCCTATCTCTTTCTCTTCCTCTTGCAAGCAGATGCAAATAGTATATTAAGGAAGAATTTTATTTTAGTTATGTGTGTCGTGGGAATGAGTTTCTTTAAAGTCTTTGTGAAGTTGTTTTTATTGAGATATTTTGGCTAATTGAGAAGGAGCGTTACTTTGATAGAATGTGCTTACAGGGTCTCCCTCTCTCATAATTTTGTTGCTCTAAATTCAAGTAGTTGGATTATATGATAACAGATAATGTAGACAACAGTTGTGACTTTGGTATATGTTATATAATATAACACTGGGAAACTTCCAAGTTTAAGTTACCACCCGAATAAAGTTTTTATATTTTAGCGAATACCTTTACATTTTGAAGCATCTACCGAGTTAAGTGTGTAGGTCTCACAAGAGAAATTTATACCAAACTTTTTGAGATCCTGGAACATACATAAAAGAGAGAAGATGCTTCCCTGTGTTAATCAGTTACAGAAGGATCGTCATCATTGGCGCCCGTCGGGGGGAGTTCGGTCTACATCTAGAAAATCGTGGAACAAATCGGGTTCAAATTGCACTAAATTCTGGTCGCTTCGACTGATTTCGATGAACCCTAAAGAAATTAGCAATGTAAGTCCACTAGTAGCACGTAGCGAAAAGAAGAAACGACTAGCGCGCGGTTGTTAACTCGGCTCTAATCGCGTAAGCGGTGACTACGGCAATCAAGAAGCCCACTAGTGCCAATTTTTTCTAGAATAATCGTAAGTCTTTCTGAAAATATTTTTGCTGTGGTTTGTTCCAATTAATGATAGCTCATTACTATAATTCTCTTCTTCCGAAGGGCATCTCCATTATTACTTGAGGTGATTATTTTGTTCTCAGAAGGTGTTGAAACTAGTACGCCTTATATTAAGGAAGTGTTCGGACTATAAAGTTCTAATATATTAGAGATTAGACTAATTTCAAAGAAAGAAAAGCTCAAGAGTCCAACGTTAAGTTTCAAATAAACAGGATTTAGGTCACCTTATTAAATATTAAATATTATTATATCGGTTTATAATATTCCCGAGTTCATATTGAGAATGTTTCCTGTTTGTCGTAAAGTTTCGAAATCTAATAGATATAGCTTGTAGTGGCAAGATTGCGAAACGCACCTTTCTTGACATTGAGGGTGTTTTTGATAATACGCCACGCAAAAGGATATAAGGAAATTGCGGCTTCAGTATGCAGATAGATAGCTGAAAACACTGTCGGAGAGCAATAGATTTGTCTGGGCAATACGAGGACAGCCTCAGGGTATAGTCCTATCCCCCCTAATATGAAGCTTAGTAATATATGAACTCCATGAGTTGCACACAAGAGGCATGCCAATGACTTTGTTATAATGGCATATGGTAAATTTGAGAACACTCTTTATGACATAGTCCAAACGGGCTTAAGTCTAGCAAAAGGATGATATAATACAGCAGAGTTAAATATCAACCCGTCAAAAATAATCGTCGTCCCTTTCAAAAAGCGAAGATCTAATCCGTGCTTGAGGTCCCTAACACTTGGTGGCTGGCAGTTGGAGGTTTCTAAAGAGGTTAAATTCCTAGAACTCATATTAGACTCAATATAACGTTGGAATAGACATGTGGAATTAACACTAGCCAGAGCAAGCACTCATGATATGTAGTTGGTATCATCAGGTACCTTGCTCATAAGGCCTATAGTGACTTATGGAGCGGTTGCTTGGGCATCGAAGACCTCGGTAGGCTTTCAACTATTGACTCGCTYGCCCAACCGTAGCACTTGAAGTTAAATGGGAGTTCACACCATTGCATCTACAGATCAAACAGGCAGTGAAGMATACCAGGTTGTTCATGGCAGAAGAGGAGTGCGGAAAAGCGAAGATAATGTCGTCTCAAAAAATGAAGTTCTTAGGGGAAGACATACTACTGGCCCTTCTTACAGGATATGGCGTTACAAAGAAGGCAGTAAGACGAGCACTATCCAGTGGAACATTGAGAGCTCAAAAGCACCGGTAGGCATTCGAGCCGGTATTGCGGTACCGCATACCCAACATCTTTTATACGAAGTCTGTAAGTCAGTCAGAAATCAATCTCTAACACAACAATCGCAACCAGCGTATCGCTATACTCAGCGACAGTCAGGCGGCACTACAAGTGATTTCTTCTTATGAATTCAAATCGCTATTAGTGGAGGAGTGTATTGCATGCCGAGTTATAAAAGGGTAGCCGGCAATCAGCTGGCCAACGAACTCCCTACTGTCACTTCCAGGATGAAGGGGCCAAAACCATGCATTGCGGTGGATCCCGTACCATAAAGGAGTTGCACCGCACGGTAGTGAGAGTGGGGAGAGTACGGCACTGGCAGCAGACAACAGAAATGCGTCACACCAAGTTTAAATTGGGAGGTTAGCACCTAGCATGGTTTAGAGATATGACCAATCTTCCCTGGTACAAATTCCGTCTTTTTGCCGCGCTCTATACTGAGAACTGCAGGCTCAAGAAACTCTTGTCCAGCAAGTGTATGGACAAGTGGATTGGATTTTGACTTTTTTTTTTAGTCTAAGAGAAAGTATTTTGAAGGCAATAACAAAAATTTGTATTAAAATGCGTAAAAAAGTAAATTTATTTTTTTCCGGTTCAAGTTGGTTCGGATGATATAATTTAATGTATAAGACCTATTCTTTTCAGAGTGTTTGTGAAGTTTATTAATTTTCGATGGTTCTTCCAAGTTTTAGGAAGTAAAGAATACTTTAATTTGTGACACTAAAATGGTAT